TTTTTTCTTTCTTTTCTCTTAAATAATTTGTCCCCATTATCTCAATTCCCGATTAGAGTGTGAGAATTGTGCAAATCAAATACAGATCATAGTCTAGTATTTGATTGTTTAAAAGTTGTATTTTTAAAAAACAGTAGTTGTTAGATTCGTCATTTGTGTGGAACAATGCAACTTTGGCTTCAAACCACATAACTTTATACGGACATACCACATAATTCTTATATATTTACATATCTAACACCTAACATCCTAACATACCACTCAAACCTTTAATATCACATCAAAATACCGCTACCACTACATTTTTAAAATTGAAATACACATTTCATGCATAGGTTATGACACCAAAGTGTTGTAAGTGTAAATATCAAACTTATGGCGTTAGAAATGTAAGTACATAAGAATTATGGGGTATGTATGTAAATTTCCCAATTTTATATAGAGCTATAAGAGTAAACAGTAAAGAAAAGAAAAAAAATGTAGAAAAGCTGGCAGTGGCCTTTTCTTCATTCATACATTAAAAAGATAAAGAGGTAGAATACAAGTAAATAAAAAGGTAGAATACATGTAGAGCTGCAATGCTAGAATGCTGTTATAAATGGAAAGGCTATGATCATTGCCACAGTTTTGATCAAGTGGCTGAGATGAGAAAAGGAGAGACAGCGATTATGGTTATTACTTACTCAGTTGGCGCAGTGCTTAAGGGTGAATCATAGGCTTGTGTATGACAAATATAAGGGAGCAAAATTTTTCATTGGGTGACGAAAAATCCTCGAATCTGGATGGCTTCAATGCAAATGTTTATAAGGGTGCATGGGACATTGTTGAATTTATAAAAGCAGTCCTACACTTTTTCAAAACAACAAAGTTGCTTAACTATATCTTAAGCATTCTGCTACTGCTCTAATCCCCAAAAAGCTTAATGAATCACATCAATGACCCAATACCATCAATGACATTAGACCAATATCTCCTTGTAATGTGCTTTACAAGTTAAATGATAAGCTTCTTGCTAACTAAATTAAAAACAGACTTCCTAAAATTAGGCATTTTTTTTCTCAAACTAGTGTTAGAATTAAATAATAATTGAACTCATGATTTATAGTCACAGAGAAAGGAAAATCATAAATGCCCATTCTCTCCCTATAAATCACAGCAATAGCTACACACCAATTGTTCAAAATTGGATCCCTGTATCGCATCTGCCTCTGCACTGACTTCTACTTAAATGTGTTTAGATATAAATTTGCGTTACATGTCAATGTTGATGAGTCTGACATTTTTTCCAAATAAGTCAGAAACTTATATTTTCTATCTCCTCTATATGATTTCAAGTGGGAAAACGCCTTTTAAATACATTAATATACCTATTTTGTAGCGATAAATTGAAAGATTTGATTTTCAGTCTTTGTTTGTCTCTTACACATTGCAGCAAAGGGAGCACATATATAACATAGAGCTTTTGTTACAGCTGTGCTGCTAGAGTATTCTTGTTAGGTGTGAGGTTGAAATGAAATAAGCCTGTAATAACTGAACGGTCAAAATTTTATATCAGAGGGGTGGCTGCTTGTTTAATGGTGGATGGCAAAGTTTGTTGAGATCCCTATTACCACCCCGCAAATTGATGAGGTTGAGGTTGATTGACAACTTGTCTCCGAGTTGAAAACGAGTTGTTGGAAAGGATTTAGTTCATATTTCAGTTGTTAGAACTAAAAAAAAATCACATTCAATTTCAAGAGAAATAAACCATAGATTAGCGGAAGCGTACCGGAGTCCATTAGATCGATTGCACAAGGAATGATCTTCCAATCTGCAGATTTTCTAGAGTTTCTTTAGTTTCTTGTTGATGGGGTGCAAGAAAAAGGATGTGTCTCTCTACAAATCGAGGGTCATTACCCTTAAAAGTAACTAACAGGCGGTTACAAAAAGTTTTGCTTAATTCTAATTCTGCCCCTCATCAAAATTAGAATTTGCACTTATGGTATCCACACTATAATATCATGACAAATGTGCCCAAAGTCATAAACTTAATTCTAAATTAGACCACAACAATTTTAACTTATTAAATGATGACCCAATACATTTATTAATTACATTGTAGTCCCAAAATTAATCCAACATCAGTGACTTGAAAGTGAAAATGACATACATGTTCTTTTAAAAGAA